ATTGATATAGAAAGAAAGATTTAACTGATTAAAAAAATATATACAATGAAAGATAAGTGAGATTAAAGAATAATAAAAAATAAATTATTAATATAAAGAGAAAATTAATGCTAATATGAAATAAAAATATATAATGATAAAATATGAAGAGTTAACTAAGAGATGAAGCACAAGAAAAATAAGCAAGTGGTTGTACTGAAATAATAATGTTAAAAAGTTGCACTCTTTTTGTTTTGACATAAAACATTTTTAATATAAAGAAGGGGCAAGAGAAAAAAATTGAGTAATAAAACACAAAATTTTAATTAGTTGATTGATATAATTGAGAAAAAATTTACAATTAAATTCATCCAAACACATGTTAGAAAAACTCAATATAAAAAGGGAAAAAGATGGTAAATTTATGATATAAAAACAAATATAATGATAAATAATGATAAAGAAAGCTAAGAGATGGAGCCACAAGAGAAAAAAAATGAGAGGTAGAGTAAATTAAGTGAAAAGGTATCAAAGAATAATAGTAATAAGTAGAGAACCAAGAGAAGAATTATGATAGCAATAATTGAAGACAACTTTTGAATTACTACAAGGGAAACTTTGACCCTATGATGTGAAAGTAAGTAAAAAAGAATTAGAAAATAATGTTAAAAAGTTGTGTTATTTATGTATTGGCCTAAAACATTTTTAATATAGGAAATATGAGATAAAAAGAAATTATAGGAAAAAGAAATATATAATGATAAATGAAGATATAAAAAGTGATTAAGGTTTTACATCATTTTTAAGAAAAATATAGAAGGAAAGAAAATGATGTTAAATTAATTCTTTACATTATTTTTAATGCTTCATATTAAATATCTAGCATGATAAAAATTTAAACTTTTAATTTTGATGTCAAATTAAAGTTTTATGTATAATGCATATTTACTCAACTAAGTTCTTGTTGGTGTCAAAATCAACTAAAGAAAATGATGAAAGGAACTATATTGCAATTTTTAAAAAGTTATTACCCAATGTTCAACTTTAAAGGTTAGGGATAAATGAGCAAGAGAAATAAAGGTTGATTTATTCTTCAATAACTAATTATCTCTTGGCCACCAAAAAAATAAAACTAATTATATCTTACTTATTTTAAATTATTGTTCAGGTTATGGAACATGTAAAGCTAAGTGTCGGGCGATTTCGGTTGTAACCGCAATCGATATAACAGTCAACCGCACAATCGATTTTTAAAATATAACAACCATAAACCGCATTAAATTATTAAGATTTTTAAATATTTGGTTATTTTTATTTTATAATTCTCGATGTTGGTTATTTTATAATTCTCGGTGTCGGTTACAGTTTTACTCAAGGCTTGATACTTACCATTTTTAACCCTTTTTTTCATATTTCAGTAGCAAAATTTTTGATAAAATCAATAATAATCTCATGTTACAAACTTAAATTTGAAAACACAACTTCTAATAAATAGGTTTCATAGAAACAAAGCAGCTAGTAACACAATAAAAATGATCTCTAAAAAAATATTAAGTCAAAACAAATCCCAACTAAAAGCTTATAGTTGAATTGATTGATCGATGCTCAGCGCTATTAATCTCCATGTGAACACAATAAGATAATCACACTACAATTTAGATAAAAAATAAAATTAACACAAGTAAATATTATCATAAAAACAAATGAATTCATTTTAGGGTTAAGGTTTTTTAACAAACAATGAGAATTTAGTTTTAAAAAAAGGGATTAAAATTTAAAATAAAAAATTTCTTAAAATTTTTCAAATTTAGTTAAAAAGAGAAGGGATTTATACCTTTTGTTTTGAGTAATTTGTTAATTAAAAGGGATGGGTGACAGAATTTATGAGGAGAAAGGGACAACAAGAATCAAGTTGACAATTTCAGCGGCAACGACAAAGTGTAGGTGACCACCAGCCACCACCTTTACTGATAGATACAAGAGAAAGGGAGAGTAGGAAGTTTTGAAGTTGAGATTGAGAACAGAGAAAAAGGAAAGATGAAAATGGCTGCTTTGTGGTTTATTCTCATTTTTATACTTAGGATTTTTTCTAGTTGCTAAATTATTAATTTGCCCTAAAAAAAATCTAATAAAAGGCAACTAATGCAATCTGGGCACAATTTGGGCACAATTTGGGACGATATTTGAATGTTTTTGCATTGTAAAAAGACGATAAATGAAATTAATTAATAGTAGAGGGGCGATATAAAGTCAATCATAATAAAAGATTTAAATTGCACTGTTTTTTTATAGTAGAGAAACAGTTCATGGCATTAACCCGCGAATTTTCTCCTCACGTTTTTTCTTTACAAAAAGAGCAATACTACGGGCAGTCTCCCATCTGCACTCTCTTAAGCACTGGCTGTTCACATATTTGGTCCTGTAGATCGATGGATAACGATATGTATCATTTATTTTTATGGATTGATTCAATCCATTCTCTCAAAAATTACTCTTGATAAAAAAAAAAAGAGTACTGGCTGCTCTATTATTGACACGTGGCAGCATGATTGACGTTTCAATCAGCAACCGGTTTCAAACTGGTTACTTATTCTCTTTTTTTGAACATGGTTACTTGTTCTCTTTCTTCTATTTTTCCTTTACTTTCATATAAATTTAGAGTCCCATAATAATCCCAATCCAACCTCCACATTTCAAACTGGTTACTTTTTACATTATTTTCATTTATGAAAATTAAATGAGATTCAGATGTGGTCCCAAATTAATCCCAATCCAACGACTACATTTCAAACTGGTTACTTTTTACTTTATTTTCATCTATAAAAATTAAATGAGATTCAGATGTGGTCCCAAATTAATCCCAATCCAACCACTGCATTTCTTTCAAAATGTTTTGTCATCAATATCTTCAACTAATGTGGCCTCCACTCGGAATAATAGCTACATCTACCGTTTGAAAAGAAACTGCAGCAATTATTAGAGAGAGAAATTTCTTCTCCAAGCCACCGAAATATGAGATCCCAAATGGCAGATTTTTTTTTTTTTTTTTAACTTCACCGTGCGATTCACTTGACTTGTGTTTCTTAACGAAGAGGTGATGACGTTCATCTTCGTACGAGGATCGAATTTTTAATTTTTAATAATTAATTAATTTATTATTTTTATTAAAAAAATTATTTTTTTTAAAAACTCAAAGTAATTCAAGTGATCGCTTTAACATCATTGAAAAGTTACTCATTTAAAAATATGGAGTTCAATTTTTACCCTCTCTCCTTTTCCTTTCCCCCGAATTAGCTGTGTTAAAAAAAAAAATAGCAAAAATTTTTTTTCCCATCGAAGTACAATACATGTGACACATGCTAGATCGTTTCTACCTAACATTCTCTAACTCACTCACAAAGCACATCAACACCAATATATAGTTTTTTTTTTTTAAGGAAGAACACCAATATATGGTATTTATTATTATAGAAATAAGAAAATGATAAATTATGTTATTTTTTATAATAATTTATTTCAACACAATAACTTTAAGAGA